CTAAAGCAACGCCTCGACGCTGCGCAGTACTACAAGGTGAGTCTCTCAGTACCGGACGCGCGCAGGCTCGCGTAAGTGTATAGGCGTTATATAACGCGCACCACAGGTTCGCTGTTGGTCCTCATTGGTAGGAATTGTGACCTACATAATTTGACCCAAGCGCCAGAAGCCATCATGGTTGATTACCGAAAGAAATTTTTGTATTCGGTTACATACTTTTAGATGTTGGAAAGACGAAACTGTTTAAGGTATATTTGTTTACTATTTGTTCACTCAACTGAAGGCTGAGAATGCACACATTATATTCGATGAGTATACACGGATATTAAAGACTACCATTATCAAGTATTCGTGCTGAAATGCCATTATTCCTGGATGGTGCCTTCTCTGGGCAGACAGAATGTTTTTTTTTACTTTGCCTTACTTGTATGACAGAAGAAATATATATGCTTCGGTAAAAGAAGTACTTTGGGAAACGGTGGTTGATTGGGTGAATGTTCGCTACTGTCTCACCAGGTCATCTTCAGACGGATGGGAAGTGTACGAAACAGTTTATCCAAAATGATGGCTAACAGATGCTTATATAGTGTTCAGGTTAATAGTTGATAATCGTCACCCGCATGTGGTTGTGCGGTCAGTGGGGAAGAAAATAGTTGTCACTTGCATGTAATTATGCGGTCAGTCGGGAACTTATTGTCAACCGCATTTAATCGTGCGGTCGGCGGTGGCTGGTTTTTGCTTCTTCTAATTCGGGTAGGCTGCCGTCTCTTCCATGCTTCCCTGAGGTTGGTGTACATCACGTGCAATTCAACGTGCCTGTTTCGTACAATTCCCATCCGTCTGACGACAACCTGGTGAGCCAGTGTCGAAAATTCACCTAATAAACCATCGTTTTCCAAAGTACTCCTTCTACGGAATTACACTTCTTGGGATGCCGATTTTTCAGTTCATATATGCCTTCTACTCTGGTTTACTTTACGAAGTTGTCTTCACTGGCCATAATTTCAAATGCTGCTATTTGACAGGCAGGCATTGCGGGTCAAGCAGATCTTGCAACGTGGGCATCTTCTTGGCCTTGTACAAGAACATCAATCATATCCCCGAGCATAAAACCGTAGTCGAATTTTCAAGTATTGCCAATAGAAGTGAATATGCGAGTTCCAGGAAGCATTTCAGAAAAAGAAGATGCGGTCACTGGAACAAGAGTTTTATTCTCCTGACGTTTCAGATTCTGTCGAAAATCCTTAATCATAGGTAATCGAAGGATAGTTTGCGACATGCGCAGATAAGGATGATAGATGCACAGATTGCACGGTATTTATTGTTCGTAGTGGTCAGCTGCATACGTATTATAATTACCATCTGTAACCACGGCTTAGGGTCTTAATTGATACGGCGATGGCTTGACACTTCGTGTTCGAATCATTAATTGCCGCGATGTCCTTGTCCGTGTCGGGTGCGGGCTTGATAATTGCGCGACAGTTATGCTCGCTGTGGTCAGAGTTGTTTCTGGCCCGGTCCTTCCAACGTGACTGATTCTCTTGCTCAGGCAATTTCTCAGTACGCAGTACGGGAACACCAAAAAGTTGTACTTGTTGATGGGCTGGGGGAATGAGAACCATGACTCGAGTAGTTCACGGCTCACGTGGTTGTCACCTCTTGCGCGGATTTCGGCCTCGTTAAATTCAAAAATATGGCTGGGTCCCGTTGAGTGAACTGCAACCTGGGGGTTGCATTCCTGCTCAGTCCGTTCTACGTATGTTATATCAATTTATTTGTGCAGGGCTACGCTTGCGACCCCGTCGAGGCACGACACGGTATTAGTTGTCTAGTATCAGCTTTGACTGATCTACATATTTACAGCAACCCTAATGACAGAGGGTGTTTTTAATGTGATACTATAATAAAATGCTCTTGTTGTATGCAAGACCATGTTTGCATTCATAATCTGCCAGTTCAAATTACGAATAACATATTCGATTTTGGGTGACGGTTTTGCAAAATCAAGTTATTTTCTGCCAGGAAACTGCACATTTTCTTCGCCTAGTTGAAATAAAATTGTGCCCGCCTTAGAACCCACCAGTTCTCATTGTTAGAGTAGTGGCAGGATTAGACAAACATATTGTTTGACCGGATATCGAACCGTCTATAACACTAACTCATTCAAACTTTCAGAGATTTCGCCAATGGCTTGGAAAGTTTGGGTACCAGTTGATTTCCTTTTTCGGAGACGAGAAACACTTTCCCTTAAAACACAAATATGTCTACCTCAATATCACTGAAATCTGTTCAAGCATGTTATAGTAACATTTGACTGTGTATGTGCCTCACAAATGACAACAGAGCTACTTATATACGGAGTTCTGACAAGTATTTGATAGGTGACATTAGGAATGCTGGTAGCTTAGAGCGAGGACAGCCTTTCCGAGGTTGACCCGCAGATATTCTGTTTAAATTTGACTAGCCTTCCTTATCCACATAGCTTTATAACTCTGGCAGAGAAGGCTAATACAAGATCGCCTATTTGCAGTAGCAAGCGGCCTTAGAAGTTTGAGCGCCTCCTATCCTATTTAGGACACTAAATGTGTGTGTAAACTAACCGAAAGACACTATACACAGGAAATGTTGTCCGTAAAACTTGGTGGCCACCTCTTTTCCAAGAATTACAGACACAAATTCATTTTATATGCGGATTCAAATGTGAAGCTGTTTTTGCGTGGCCGTTCGAAACACGTATAAGCTATTATTGCGGCACAATTTCACATCGACCTATTAACCAAAGGTCTTGCATACCCCAATATTTATCCTCATTAAGGTTGAAGTGGTTGGTGAACTTCAAGTAATCCTTTCTTTCTGGAAGGAGTTTCAGAACTCCCGGTGGGCGACTTTTAGTGACACTGTCCAAATCTTTCGTCTTAGATTCGTTGTCAGGAGCTCGGTGAAGAGATAACGGTTCTTACCGAAGAATGCGAGAATCTGAAGTTGCAAGTATCAAAAGAGAATGAAGAGGGCACCAAACTACGTCTCCTTGAAGAAAAACTGCTGGAGAAGTCGAAAAGAATCTTGGATCTTGAATGGGTAAGCGGAATTTTCGAATTCTGACGACGTTCATTTTGTTACTGGATATTTCAACAGATTTCTCACCTTGTATTTATTCAAATCAGTCTTTACGTTATAAAAGCGCAGTTTCACAAGAGTAGAAACTAAAATTTGTTGCTTTTTTAACTCAGCAACATGACAAGGATCTGGAGGAAATTCAGTGGATGCGAAATGAACTCACTGATTTGCAACTGAAGACGATTTCATCTGCCCGACTGCAGCAAATGTCTCCGCAGAGTGGTGAGGGCAATGATGAAATTAGTGAGATTAATGAACAACTAAATCTTTTACTGCCCGACCAACCAGCCGAGGCCGGCCCGTTTTCGATCGATCTCCCAACTCCTCCACCACCGTCTGCAATCGAAGGAGACAGTCAAATCACTCAGGTTGGCATTACCTCACGTCTGCGTAGTTTAAATATGTTGGGAATAGATCTGGTTGTACGCTTGGATGGGGAAAGTTTTAACCAAGCAAACCGCCAAATCAGTCTGCAAGTTAAAAGAACGTGGGTCACTCACAAGGTCACTAACATATTTTTGACTGTTAAGAAGTACCGCCTATCTGCACAATGGAGAATGACACAACAATATTTAGGTCGTTTTCACTCTTCTGTCGGTCCTGTAGTGACCAAACCTCGAAAATCTGAAGCTGCTGTTTGAAAAATTGCGTGCATTCCATCCTCTAAGTAATTCTTAGCACGGATACCACTCCCATGTGACCTAGGCGCGACTTTCGGAAAAGCTGTTACGTCTGGTAGTTTCGTGTGCATGTCCATTGGTAGTTGCTCTTTTGCGAAAATCGAATTTTAACACGATTATTGGATATAAATTGTATGTAGGCTGCATTTTCATAAATCAACAGTCGTCTTTAACGTTATTGTCTGTTGCATCTTTATTTTACGCATTAAATAGATCAGACTGACGGCTCTTAATTCTCCGTGTTAGGATTACTTGCATCGCCATATTAAAGATGGATATCCTCGAATTTAAACGCAACAATTTTTTTCCATTTTACGCTTCTTCATGAGTAAATGCGAGTTCAAACCATTCCGTCGATATTAAGCTGCCGAATTTTCATTCGCGGTTAAGTTCTATCGCCAAAAATGTTACCCTCAGAATGCGTCGAGTGTCATACCTGAGAGCATCCTAAGTGAGAGCATACGAGTATGTCGATAGATTGCATCTAAACAGCAATTCGTGAGCTTTAATCGTCTGAAATGAGCCTGACATCTCCATGATTTTTGGATGTTGCTATACAATGTGCAAAGCAGCGTCTCCAACGCCCTGTCGCTGTATAAATTAATTTAATTTTATGTACAGCTTGTCTCATTTGGCTATTCAGAAAACTTTGCAAGAAACTAAGCCGAAAACCTTGTGTTCTGGATGGAAAAAAACATTAATTCGCAGACTGCGAGCATATATCTGACACAAACTTTGGTCGTTTCGGCTTTTCTGTGGCTACATCCTTTGTAGACTGGCTCTGGATACAACACTACATTCCATGTAATTCCCACAACTGTGAACTAGATGCATGTTCTTCCATCCGATTCTTTAGGTTCTTTCCCAGATGTTCGTAAAATATCGGCTGCAGGGGAAACCATTTTTTAAAAAATATCCTGTTATTCCTCTAATAGAGCAACAAATTTTCAGCATTTTACATATCTAATAACAAATGGAAAACCATAGACTGTGAAGCTGACAGTGATTGGAACCGTGTAACGGTGGGAAGGACAAATATCAAAAGGAGCGATAGGGCGAGCTGCAGTTATATGAAGTCTCTGTGTCTAGGAGCCCGTTTGTGTCGATAAACTTTACTACAGGAAGTGCTATCCTAATGAAAGTATTCTGCATGCATTCCGGATTTTGTTCTTTAATCCCGGTCAAAGGGGTCCTCAATCTCAGTAACTGTAGAGGACTACCGAATGGTGTCTGTTCGAGTTGCAGTCGCTCAAGTGTGTGGATTGATGTTTTTAAAGAGACGAAGGGGAATATTAATCACATTTGTGGGTGCTCTCTCCCGTTTAAGGTCGTTTTCGTTTGGTGGAAGTCCTGGCTCCCACAATCATAAACCTGTCGCTACGCCAGAAGTCTACTGTCGCAGGAAGCAGCCGATCGGCCTTCTGCACCATCAACCGTTTACCCCTTTACTTTTGTTCCTCTCCCTTATCCGCTGTCGACCCCCCTATTAGAAACATCTGTTTTACGAGTATGGCCCACTGACCTCGCCCTGTGCGCATGCACCGCCCAACCCACCCAACAGATTAATCTCAGTATTCTGAGGTGTGGGGGGGTGGGGGAGGAGGGAGGGGGAGGGGTTGGCCGCATGACTGTGAGCCGATGGACCGCTGACGAAGGAACAGCGACCACTGCGAACAAGAGACGACGGTTGAATGACGCATTCGTGTGACACATGTTTGTTCTGCCTGGTTCGCGGTCCTGTCATCTGCATTAATTACTTTAGTCCTGCCGCGGTATGTATGCACACGCATGCTATACTGACACCCAGCCAAATGCTGCTCTGTTTGGTGTCTTCGAGAACTTTGATTAGCCCTCATGTGGGCGATCGCTCTCAGCCTGTCTCACGGTCCAGTCTTCTTTTCCTTTTGTCAGTAATGCGCAGCATACTGTGCAAACTGATCAGCGAGTGTTCGAACCAACTGGATAACAGGCTTCGGCCGGTGATTTAGCGTCTGAGTCATCACTTACTGAACCCCAATCACAGGTATTGGAAAGTGACGCGAAATCAAGATTTCTCAACTTAGTCGATGAAGACCGATCCTTGGTATGCGCGACCCTTGCTTCGGGAAGTAAAAATGCTCAGTCACCGTCCGTCAAAAATGAAGACGATTTCAGTATTCATATTCTTGAAGGTTCGACCCGATGTCAGCAAGTAAGACAAAACTTACGAGGTGACGCCAGTTTTCCACACTGTTGATTTGTGATCAGTCATCGTATTCGGAAGGACCACACCTTCTTGGGGCAGTTAATTTGGCCGCACCCGCGTCTGGTAAAGTAGACGGTGACCGATAGGAAGGGCTCACTAAAACAGGTTTAGTGAAATACTGACGATAGCTTCGAATAGCTTTAAAGGCTCACTGTTATTAAAGCTTTAAGTGCAATGGTCTGCCATGGTCTGCGACGGTCTGCCACTTATCTGCTTGTCGATATTTCTTCCGAAAGCTGCCTAGGCCCTTTCGAGGATCGCCTACAGGAGCAGAAGTTTGCAACTCGGAGATTAGACACAAACTTTCAGCTTGAAACGAAAATTAGTGAAACTGGTCATGCTTCCCATCTTCAAAGAGCTAACATCTGAGGCTGGGACAGAAACAGAACAGCTAACGCTTGAGGCGTCGTATTCAGATGTCAACACCGTCAACGGGCATCTTGACCTTCCTGTACCCTTTAAAGTCTTATATCATACGGTACACATAGCTGAGGACAAGACGGCTACGCGCAGACAGGACCCACAAGTGAGTTCACTCACTTAAGAAAAAGTAGAGGCCAGGCCGCACAACGCCGGTAGAGGCCCCATCAATCCATCCAGCTAAATTGCCCGCCAAACATCTCTACATGTAGTATGCCAACAT